AATATATATATATATATATATATATATAAATAATATAGAATAAGAAGATAAAATTTTTACTGTATAATAGATGTAGTTTCTTTGGAGAATAAAAGTATAATTTTTAGCCCTGTGAGATGCATCTGAATTTTGCTATGAAGGAGGGATATTTATCCCAGAAAAATAAATAAAATCGTTCAGGAAAATTGGTTAATCGTGTAAAATTTTTTATAACAAACAAGGTTACATTTCGAAGTTATAAAATAAAGAAGAGAAAGTCTCTTAGAGGGATCAAGAAAGTAAAAGTAAGTAAAGCGAAGTAGGGAAAGAGAGCCATGTTTGGCGTCTTATCGAAAGACGAAATAGCCCAAAACAAGGCCAACCACCGTTATCATTATTAAATTTGAAAACAATTTGGCGAAAGTTTATCGCTGGTAGGAGTGTGAGAATTAGTGTAACCATGTAACTGAAACATTTTTGTGGTAAGAATAAAAATAAAGAGTTTTAAATAAATTTTGTTTTCGATTTGGTCAAGACAGTGAATTAATTAGTTTTGCATTTGTGTTAAATAAAAAGTTAGCCATTACATTGATTGTTAAGAGAAGAATAGCTTTATAAAACGTATTAAAAATTAAATAATTTGTTTAATTTAATTAAAATTCAGTTAAGTTGTTGTTGTTGTTGATTTACGTCGCACTAATGCTGCACAATGGGCTATTGGCGACGGTCAGGGAAGCATCCCGGAGGATGATCCGAAGGCATGCCATCACAATTTTGATCCTCTGCGGAAGGGATGGCACCCCCGCTTCGGTAGCTGGACGACCTGCGCGCGAAGTCGAGCACTTTACGGTAGCACAGTTTAACGAGGACCAATACCGCACACCCTCGGTCCCTACGCAGACTGATCCAAGTGGTCACCCACCCGCACACTGACCGTAGCCAGTGATGCTTGACTTCGGTGATCTGCTGGGAACCGTGTCTTAACGATCAGTCCACGACGCCACTGCGGGACTAAAATTCAGTTAAGAATGGTTAAGAAAAATAAATTTAGAAAATTTAAAAGAAGTTCTAAAAGCTAGGAAGTATGTAATGTTTATTGTCATCACATTAGTCATATTTTTTTATACAAATCTTCACATAGTCATTTTGTCTAAGCTAAAATTGCGGAAATTTTGACTTTCTAAATGTAATTGTTTAAGATATTTGAAAACGTGCTCATTTGTAATTTAAAGCTAATTTTCTTGTGAATACTGTATAAGATGTAAATATAAATTCTATTTGTTGAATAAAATCCAAATTGTTTCAGCATTAAAATTAATTCTTTATAAATATGCGTCTTCCCTTGCCCTTCATCTTCCCTTGTAAAAATTTTGTTATACCCTTTCAATAACCATTTTTTTTAAATCCCTAAAGAATTTTTATTCAATAAGAATTCATAAAAAAATTGAAAAATTGATTAAAAATTAGCTATTTAACCTGCGACAATTTTAAAAAAAGGCCATAGATTGGTTTTAACAATATGCGCAACCAAAAGCTAAGACAGTTACTGATGTAAGAGATAGCTGTTAGTGCTTTCATAAATCCTTCAGTAAAAAATTTAAGATAAAGTAAAAAAAATCCAATTTTTAAGTAGTTTATTTCAAAATTAGAACGATTAATAAAACGCCATAAGGAAAAGAATTGCTGCCGAATATATTTTTATATTCTCGTCAATTATTAATACCAAATACAACAATGAAATTTATTACATGCTCGATAAAATCTGTTCATTAAATAGTTAACTCATGCGAAATAAATTTAACTGTACGCTTTTTAAATAATAAGGGAAATAATAAAAGAAGAAAGATTTAGAAGTTCTTCGACACGTGCTCGCTTGTCACCATCCTTACTTAAACTGTGACCTTCTATAATGGACAATGTTGATTTGCCAATAACAACATTAATAAGCTTTTCTTTTTTGTCTTGTGACCCTGAATAGACTTTTAAATATTTTGTTTTTAATCTATAGCTAGCATTAAATGTCTTAGATCATAGGGTTGAATTGTAAAAAGCACTCTAGCGAATTTAGCTCTATTTTTATATTTGATATTATATTTAATATTGAGTAACACATTTATGCAGTATTCAAGGTAAGAAATATTTATATTTATTTTAAATAGTCTAACTCGTAGTGTGTGTGCCCAATGGCTAACTCGTAGTGTGCGTGCCATATCCCGTTTCATTTAAAATCTCTTTCTTATGCTATTAAGTTCTCCGTTAGGCAGCTTCCTCTGGGTCGTGCCTTTGATTATTCTTATGTCATTAGGTTTTCTTCTCTAACTCTTATGAACGTTTCCTTATTCACGTTTTCGGACTCCACTCCTAACTTCAAAAATTTTAAGTAAACAATAAACAAATAAATGAATAAAAACTCATAAATCAATTATTGAAAAAAATAACTGGATATTTTTAACATTTTGTTAACATTTGTATCTTTATTTGAGAGTGAATTTTTAGTAACTAAAATTTTTTTTGTTTGAATTTAAAAAAAAAAACACATATATTTTATTGTTTAATTCAGCTAAAAAAGTATGTGAATTCCGAAAATTAATTATGAGACTTCTGTACCAATACTTAAACTTTTTTTTAAATAAATATTTTATCTATTTTTAATTAGTCACAACTTTCAAATTTTCCCCAATTTTTTTATAGTAACCTTATGGATTTTAAATAGTATGTTTTTTCAAGTATTTTTTTTAACTTTTAAAGCAAATTAGTTTTCTTCATCGCGCCTATTAATTTATTAAACTGATAAAGTATATTTTTTTAAGGTAGAGCCATGTTCGCAAAAAGAGCTGCTGTTATTGGTGGTGGTCCTTGTGGACTAGGAGCTGTAAAAGCATTGAAAGATGAAGGAATCGAAGCAGTATGCTTTGAAAGAACGGGTTATATAGGAGGTCTTTGGAGATACCATGATGATGATGTAGATGGAATAGCCTCAGTAATGAAGACTACTATTATCAATACGAGTAAGGAACTGGGTGCCATGAGTACATTTCCCCCTCCCGCCGAATATCCGAACTATATGCACAATACGTTAATGTACGAATATATAATAAAAGCAGCTGAAAAAGCAGGAACATCTCAACATGTACGATTTTACCATGAGACGAAATTGATTGAAAAAGCAGAAGATTATGAGGTAAAGCTCTTTTTTCCCAACTGTAAAAAAATACCGAATTAAATTTTGGTAAAAAAGGATAATGCACCTAAAATTCCGATACTTTATTTCGCAATTTGATCCGGAATTTTTTGCAATGCAGTTGTTGTTGTTAAATTAATAAGTTATTTTAAAAATTTTATCAAATCAATGTACATTTTATTCCCTCTTGTTTGGGTACCCTTGTGACTAAATTTTGCATTTCAAGAATACTGGGGGAAGCGTCGAAAAATTTGAATTTTAAGTTTTATTTAAATATTTTCTTTATTTTATTACCATCGTTGAACAGTCGACTGAATTTTGAGTTTACGGCTAGCAAAGTACTTCTTTTGAATCATTTGCTCCTTTTTTAAAACTTATTTTTAACTTATTTTAGATCAGCAATAAGGGGACTTAAAAATACATCTTTATAATGACATAGTATACGCGTTATTTAGTGAATTTATTTTCTTCCTCTCATCTTCATTTACTTTTCTTTTCCTAGAACTAATGATTTCCCTGCTCTTTTGGGATTATTTTTATGACAAAACTAAGTATAAGCCATGTTTTGTTTTAGATTAAAAGCAGGGATTTGTTTTAGTTAATTTTTTTTTAGATTTACAGTAAATAGCGCTGAGCAGCTTTTTTTCTTCTAGCTATGTAACGATATTACAAATTCAAAGCTTTTCGTTTTTTTATTACAGAATAAAATTTAAAATTAAATTTTGAAAAATACTTTCATTAATGAAATTAAAAGGCAATTTAATTTAGTAATTTCGTAATGGTTTTTGGAATAATACCTATGAATATTAAGCTTTAAATGCGTTAATCTAAGATAAAAATGACTGGCATTTTGTGAAATTTGAAATGTTTTTTTCTTCATGTCAATTCTATGAGATATGTCTAAAAATATTTGAATTAAATCATTTTTATTTATTTTACTTTTACCTAAATATGTTTTCGATAATTCAAAAAACAACACTAGGTATAGATTTTTTTTGAGTATGCTATTTTATTTTTAAATAGCACATTTAAAAAATTATAATCTATGTTTCGTATCTTGAATAGTCAAATCTTAACTAAAGAAGTCTTCTAAAAACAATTCAAAATTTTTATTTACTATTTTTTGGAAAAATGAAACTCGAAATTCGATGTTGCTTGTTTTGAATACACTACATTTTCTACGCAATGTTTTTGGCTTTGCACTCCTACTTTTTTAGACATGAGTAAAATTAAGCGTTAAATCAAACATGAGATGTTTATAAAATAAAAGATTATACATAATAGTGTTTTGAAAACATTTCTATATAGTTCTAGATGGGATTAATATATTTTTCTTAATTAAAAATATATTTAATAGTTACTAATAAATATTATTAATTTCTTCAGAATATTTATTTTATAATAATTAAAAATTAATAACGAAAACTAAAGATTTGTACTCTTGATTAATTATTTCATTGATGAAATGAAACCACGACTACTGTTTCATGTAACGCTAGGCGTTGAAATAAGGTAACGATACGCAACGTTAATGGATGTTGTTTACAATTTCAAAAATGAAAATAGAATACATTTATTGAAATTTAAACTATCAACATTAATAAAACAATCTGTTTTGAAAAAAAATTTGGTCAAAGTTCTCAGCATGTATTACAGAGTAACTGCTCCACATTCATCAACCCATTAATTTCACATTTTTGCATCCCATGTAACATTTTCAGCAATTGAAAAAATTAATTTGAAGCTAATAACACACTATGATAGGATTTAAATTATTTTTTTTTAAATGTAAGCAATTGTTTATATGATAAAAATTGTATGTCTAAGCTTTCATAGTGAGTTTTTTGGCCAGATATGTATTTAGGAAAGCAGAATTCCTTGATTTTCCCCTTCCTTGATTTAAAAATTCCTTGATTTCACACCTGTTCTGTTTTTAATAGAGTCAATTATTTATATTTTGGTTTGCATTTAAAATTACTTTCAATAGAAAATGTTTTTCCAAATCAGATAATTATTAGGGTTTAAATAAAAAAAACATCAAAAGAAGTTTGATATAGAGGTAAGACATGATTTTATTTTACTTTTACTTTTCAGGAAACTGGACGCTGGAAAGTAACCAACAAAAATACTCAGACAGGAGAATTGGTGGCAGAAACTTTTGATTTTGTGTGTGTTTGTATAGGTCACCATGTTTACCCAAACATTCCAACTCTACCAAATCAAGAAGAATTTGAAGGTAAAATAATGCATACGCATAGTTTGAAGAAAGTAGATGCATTTGAAGATCAGAAAGTAGTTGTTTTAGGAGTTGGTAATTCTGGAATGGATGCCGCTGTGGAATTAAGTGCCGTTACTAAACAAGTAAGCAAAAAATTAGGATTTACATTTTCAATACCTAATACAATTCTCCAATTTTAAAATATAACATTTATTTATTTTTTCAGAATTGAGAAGGAATGCAAATAATGTAACCGCTAACTATGTTTCATTTTTGCTGTTTCTGGTTTAAAATAGAACTTTTCTACGAAGTCCATCTTTTATATGAAATAACTTACAGGAAAATCACGAAGTAAAAAAATTATTTTTAAGAAATCGCAAAGCATTCGACAGATAATATCAAATAATTATTTGAGAGATTTTGCATTCTCTCCCGGTATCTCACCCGCTCACGTATTCAAATTCTGAGCAGGTAGTAACCTTTAGATAATACCGGCTTCAGCTTGCGCAGAACTTTAGTGCGTGAGAGAGTGGGATACAACGTGAAATGTAATAAATTTAGGCAGAATTGGTAACGAAATGCAAAATATTTTTTTTGAATTATATTTAAGAAATGAACATTCAATTAACTTTTCCTATTCTGTTAAAAATGTCTTTTTATGAATGTTCTTGACGCTCCGTATGCTTTCTTTTCTTTTTAGAATTTTTAGTATCATTTAAAAAATAAAGTTTATGTTGTCTTATAAATATTTCAAAGTATACAGACAAAGCCGCGATGGCTCAGGGGATGGAACGTTCGCCTTCCAATGAGGTAGACCGGGTTCGAATCCCAGCGATGGCTGGTCGATACGAGTTCTGCGTCCGGCTAGCACCGACCACAGTACTGACATGAAATATCCTCAGTGGTAGACGGAGAGTTCCCTTGCCGTCAGGCTAACCGTGAGAGAGGATCTCGTGGTCTTCCTCTCCATGTAGCACTAATGCGAGATAGTTCCATCAAAAATTTAATGGAAAAGCAATAGAAGGAAAATTGTAACATTGAAATAGTTTTTTTTATTATTGGCAGTTATCGTGTTAATTTCATTTAAAAAATACAATGAATTTGATTACGGAAATTCACTGGTGTAAGAAATTAAGAGAATTTGCAGACTGGGTCGATTATCTACAGAACTACTGGACCGATTTTAATGAAATTTGATATGTACATTCATGAATACAATACAAAACGAAAAACCTTTCAACAATTGTAATACGCACACATGATCGTGGGTCACACTTGTTGAAGTCAGAAGGTATGTTAAAGTGGTTGTAGAATAAACAAAGAAAAATGGTTTAATATGGTCCCCTCTTACAGGCCTTGCAGCGTGATTTTATGCTTGATTCTCATTTCAACTGTCAATGTGGCAATTGGTCCCACTCGTTCAGCAACGCTGTTTTCATTCCCTGGATGATTCTCGGAGGGGGGGGGTAGCGATTGGCCTGCTTCTAGCCTTCTCATACTTCGCTACCTCATTCCATCATCTAAACGTTGGTGTTACTCATTTTTACTGTTACAATTTGAATTTATCCTATTGCCGCAAAATATCACCAAGAAATTCGCCACGGTGTGCAAGTAAACGAAATGTATCTTATCTTACGCGCATTTATACAGCCTGTTTCTCTACTGGCTCCGCCTACACACACGCGTACGCTTACTTATTTGATGTACAAGATTTACATTTTTGTCTAGAAACAGTGGTTCTACATTCAGTTTAGTTCCTTTCATGAAATTCGATAAAATATGCATATTCCCTTAATTTATTTCACCATTGTAGTTTAAAAATCATAGATAGATCATATTTAAATTATTTAAGAGGAAAATAGTTTTGCAGTTTTTCTTAATTAGGTAGGTGGACTTCTTAAATTTGTTTTGCACCTAGTGCTATTTTAAAAGGACTGTTACTTCTTTCAATAAAAAAAAAAGTAGTAGCACAAGTGGTTCAATGCTATGGTTAATTTTGCAGAAACCAGCTAGCTTTATCTACTATAATATAATCGTTTATAATTGGATCTGAAGTACGGCACATTAGTTTTTTTAATGTTAAGGTGGTAGACAACAAAAGGAAATATCCACTTGATGTAAACGAATATGTCCTACCTCTTTTTTTCAGATAGTTCTTCATATATATATATATATATATATATATATATATAAAATTATTCAAGTAAGCTATGCAATAAATAGTTATTAAAACAAATTAACAAAGGATAACTAACAAAAAATAAGCTACCAATTAATAACTAGCAAAAAAATAAATAACTGTTACTCACTTACAAAAAATGGGTCGAAAGATCCCTAAATAAACGTGCTTTTTCAGTACACATTAGTTTATTTCACATTCAAAATTATTATCACAAACTATTTAACACGGTGTATTATAGGTAAGTAAACAACTTTTAAACTAATTTTTTTTCATTTTGTGCCGTCAAATTTCGAAATCGTTAAAAGTGTGCAGCCACACAAAAAAAGGTTGAAAATCACTGGCTTAGACATTTCTCTCCCAGTCTGTGTCATATGTGAATCAGTTGTGACTCATTTCTAAAAAGTTTTCAGACTTTAAATGAACTACAATGCCGTGAATTGAATCTACATTGTTTATTTATCAGACTTTAAATGAACTACAATGCCGTGAATTGAATCTACATTGTTTATTTATCAGACTTTAAATGAACTACAATGCCGTGAATTGAATCTA